GTATGCAGTCAATATATAAAATTTAGGATATCTACATTACAACTTTATTTAAGTTGAATAAAATATTAAAAAACACTGACTTGCATGACTATTTCTTAAAAGGTTTTGATCTTCAATTAATTATTTAATATTAAAGTCTTTTTGTAAATGGAGCAAATTTAACAAGAACTAACAGACCAATAAAGGTAGTCCTCCACTTATAACAGTTCATTTACTACCGTTCAAAGTTACAACGGCATTGAAAAAAGTTATTTATGACCATTTTTCACACAACCGTTGCAGCATCGCCATAGTCCCATTATCAAAATTCAGATGCTTGGCAACTGACTCATATTTATGACCGTTGCAGTGACTTTCTGACAAGTAAAGTCAACGGGAAGCCAGATTAACTTCACAACCATCTTACTAAGTTAATAACTGCAGTGATTCATTTAACAACTGTGGCAAGAAAGGCATAAAATGGGGCCAAACTCATTTAATGACTGTCCCGTTTAACAGAAATTTTGAGCTGAATTGTCATAAATCGAGGACTATTTGTAATTAGAAAAAGAGAAAAAAAGAAAATTTAAAAAAAACAAAAGCTGAGTGAAGGTTTGAAAATTATACATACACAAAGCGAAGTGCAAACAGAGACAAATAACCAAGAAAGATGAAATACGTGTTGCCTAGATTTTAGAGTTGGCATTGGAAAAAGTTAAAACTTAGGAGCAAACTGACGTTAGTGATGGATACTAACTACACACACACACACACACACACACCCAAGCTTTTTCAGATTATGTTTGAAAAAGGAGAGGAAGAAATAGTACATCAGCCACTTACTGAAGATGGCAAATGGTAACAAAAAAGAAAATGAAGAATTATTCAATTTCCATTTTGGGTCACTTCTCTGAGAAGAGCATGTAAGCTTACCTAGGCAATTGTGTGAAGGAACAGGATTCTAGCCTGAGTTTGATAGAAACACTGGCAGATAGGAAATACTTATTTCACTTATTTAATAAACATCTGAGAGACAATTTAGAAAGATGTTATGAGAGCAGTGATATTTTAAAATCAAATCAAAAAATGCTCACTTAGGTTTTAAAGCAGTTAATTTATTCTTAGAAGTTAATTTATTAATTTATTCTTATTCCTTTAAAATAACTAAATATTAAGAAATAGGTATAACTTACTAGGTCTTTTGTAGGATTTCGAACACGGAAGAAAAACACCACCAAGGAAGTGGGGAGAAGTTCCCACACAAACAAGATTATTCCAAATACTACATAGCCAGCATCACCCAGCTGGCATTTCAGATCTGCCTGTTGCAAAATTAAAGGGAAAGCTGTTGTAATAGTTAAGTATTAAGTGTTTGTAAGCAGATAGTGAGATGAAACCTTTTCTGACAAGCAGTGTTATGAGATTTCTGCAGCTTCCAACTCTAGATATGTTCCAAATTCTCTTGGCCTAAATAAACTAATATGCATCTATCTGAACTATCAAGACTTATTGCTGAGCACATTCTTCCTGTCAGAGCATTTCAATTAATGGATAATTACTGAATTGTATCAATACTACAACCTGTATTAGAGATATATACTTAAGCAGAAGCATATATTCTGAAAACATGGCTTCAAAGTGTTGAATTATATAGCCTGAATCAATCATGGATAAACTTGATTTAATTCAGAATCAGTGGAATTGACTAATACATAGGTAATCTGCATGTGAATCACTTGAAAGCATGCCACATTTAAATACATTTTAAAATAGATAACAGGATTAACTCTTTCTGTTACACAATCTCCTTTCTCCTCAACTCTTAGCCCAGAATAGGAAAGATTTTCCCACTGATATATTGTAAAATTTTCATCACAAAGCTAAACTGAATGAAATATAAAATTCTTCTTGGCTAAGGTATCGCTAGCATACAATAGCTCATTAAAACTACAGTAAGCCATTGTGCTTTTCTCAGTGTAAATCAATCTTTTTGCAAAGGGCAAAGTGACTTACATCTTCCCTGGTTTTAACATACTTCAGACTATGATTGTTCACAGTCACATATAAAAGTTTCCTACAGCCCTCCACTGAAGATTCCATTCTCATTTTTATGAAAATGATGCCAGTATAATCAAATTATTTATTCTTGGCATATGTAGTTAAAAGATCTTGAGCTGGTAACTGCAAAGATGTGAGAGGGGGAAGGATGCTTACTTTTACACCATTAAGTATAGGTAGCTAAATGAACATTGTATTGTCAGAAGAAATTGCTATACAGTACTTGCCTGATCAGATACATTGTACCAATCATAATCAAAAGAGTTCATTGCCTTAGTTTGAGAAAATGATAAAATAACCAGGTTGTAACAGGCTCTTGAGGTATACAATAGTATAACAGTTGCTCCTATTGTTGTTAACTGGCATACTGATGATCCCTAGAGAAGATATTAAAACACAGTTGAATGTACTTGTCTACTGATTACAAAAAATGTTCAAGGTTCTAGTTTGAGAGAAAATTTGTAGCCAAATCTCAAGTCACTTTGGACCAGCCTAAACATTGTGCTTTGTAATTCTGCTGGATTCTGAAAAGTGCTGATACCTTACATTATATTTGCTTGGAAAAGAGAAAGCCATGTTTTTTTGGTGGGGCAGGATAGAAGGAAAAAAACAAGAAAAGATCGTCTATTTAATGTTCCATATCGGAAAAAATATATCACACCATAGTGGAAAAAGAAGTTAACCTAATTCATAAAAATGTTTAAGATCTGCAAATAATTCAGTCCGCTTTTGCTAAAGCAGGAGGAAAGATATGCTGATATTACTTAATCTGCTGGTCAGGAATTACACAAGTTACTATGCATATCTGTAGACACCTGGAAAATGTTCAGCATCTTTTTTTAAATGTAATTTATAAAATACAACAAATGCAAGAAGGGTTATTTTGTTACAAATGATTACACTGTCCAACAAGTAATCATAACAGTTGCAAAATCCTGTTCATAAAACAGTTGCAGTCGCAGTAAAAATACTAACAAGGCATAAATTAGAGAGTTTCTAATAACAGAATACTACAATACGAAGGATAGGAAGATAATTTAACTAAAGGGAAAATTTCTTAATTAAAGATAATTAGCTCCTATATCATCCCTAGAGAAAACCAACAAAAACTCTCTAAAATCAAAAGACCCAAGTTTGAGATTTTTTGGAAAAAAAACTTTTTTTCTCTATCTTTATAGAATCATTTGGAAAGAATCAAATATCAAGAGATAAACAATAGCGCTCTCAGTGTTAAAAGAGAAAAACCAGGACTTCAGTCTGCTTAATCAGTTCTAAAGCTTCTTTTGTCCACTTATTCCTTCATTAAATCTTCAGTGATGGAAATGAGAAAGATAATACAGTCTTTGGTTAGCTGCTGAGAAGTGACAGATGGAAGTTCATTATTGTTCCCAGTCTTAGACTGTGGTCCTCCAGTTATTTGATTGGCCACTGTCGGATAGAGGATGTTGAAAATGCCAGATCATGACATCTGAAATACCAGTATATGCTGCCCACTAACAAAATAGCTGAAAAGCTGAGACATACTCACATACATAAAATCTCTGCATTCTAGATTTGGGGCATTCTGAATGTTTAAAACATTTTTAACATGAAAACTTTTCTATCTTTTGCTTCCATAATATAACAAAAAAATCAAATGATAATGCCACAAAGATTGCTGACTTCTGATCTAGGTCTTTGGAATGATTTGGTCTGATTCTTTTTATTTTTGATTTATTTATTTATTATGCTAGACAAATTGCTGACTTTTTAAAAAAGCAAGTATTATACAATTGGTATGGAAAATGCAGCATGTCAATATTGGACAAAGTGAACTTTTATAATTCAAGGAATAAGTTTCCTGACTGCTATTCATGCTGTTTCAGCACAATCTAAGCAAAACATATTCTCAAGAAAGTATCCACAGGAAAACAGCTTGTTGTTTCAGACATATATTTTTTTCAGTAGAGGTAGTCCGTGACCTACCACAGTTCATTTAGGGATCGTTCAAAGTTACAATGGGACTGAGAAAAGTGACTTATGACAATTTTTCACAGTTACGAACTTTGCAGCATTCCCATGATCATGTGATCATAATTCAGATGCTTGGCAACTGGTTCATACTTAAAAGACTGTTGCTGTGTCCCAAGGTCATGGGATCACTTTTTGCAACCTTCTGACAAGCAAAGTCAATGGGAAAACCAGATTCACTTTACAACTGTGTTACTAACTTAACAGCTGCAGTGATTCACTTAATAATTGTGACAAGGCAGTTCATAAAATGGGGCAAAACTCACTTAACAAATGTCTCACTTAACAAAAGAAATTTTGGGCTCAATTGTGGCCATACGTTTAGGACTACCTGTACATGTTGTGTGTTGAACATGTTTAAATTTGCTTGTGGAGAATTGGAGTAACAGTGTGGCCCTGGATGCTCCTATGCCAATCTGGTTTTGGAGAAAACCATTATGAAAATGCTATTGATACCCAGCTGAACAAAATAAGTCTGATATTTTACAATAAACTAAAACTTAGAAGGTCATCATATCCCATCATTTAACAAAAACTAAGTTTGCTTTTTCCTTAGATCTAGATAACAGAACAAGACTATTGGCAGTGAAGCCCTTCTTGTTAAAGTTTAAAAGAGGGTTTGTTTTTACTCAGAACATCTAGAGGTTTTCAGAGTTATTTAAATGGGATGTAATAATTTTGGCTGGTTACATAAAACCCATAATTGATTGATTTCAGATTGATACGTGCATGTGTGTCATCCAGTTAGTCGGGATCTCTGGCAAATACATAGACGAGTCCATGCAGGTTTTTTTTACAGTGTTTTCAGAGGTGGTTTGCCACTACCTTTAAACTAATTACAAGCATCAATTTTATAACCTAATAAAGAAATAAAATAAACTATCAGTTGGATTCACCCCCACTAATCTTGACTAGATACTGAAGAAAAATAATTCCTTTCTTGAACAAGATAGCATTCATTTATCTGCATTGGAATGATTTCCCCAGACTAAACGAAAACACACACAAAAACACAAAAAACTAAGATGTACTTTACCTTGGATTCCAAGTAAATATTTGCTAAGGTCATTTTGGAAATCTTGTAGAGACAAACGGAGAGTGAGATGGCAGAGAGTACAAATAACGTGTCATTTATAGCAACCCTGACCAATACAATTATCCTCCTTTCTGAATTTTCTAATCTCACAAGCACAGCACACGTTAAATTCACCAGCAGGAAAAGCAGACTGACCACGAAAGACACCAAGTAGAGGGGTAACCTAAGCAAGGAGAGGGAAAACAGCATTAATGTTGCAATTATTATTTTTAGCAAATATCAATATAATAGTAAATCAGTCTTCCTCAAATTGGCATCTTCCAGGTATGCTGGGATTCCAAGCTGCTTGAAAAGGCTTTGTGTTGCTCAGTATTTCCCAGCAAGGCATAATATGTTCTCTCTTATAAACTAGTTTTATAGCCTTGATTCTGTAACCCAAATTTCTCATCACTGAATTTTCAAGATTACATTGGACTGTATTTCGTCATTTCTAAAGTGACTAATCATTGCGGCTTGCACAAACCAAGTCACTGTAGCTGAACCTTAACTAAATTTTCTCAGGAAATTATTAAACATTAAATATAATTTTAATTATTAAAAGTAATTAAGCTTTCTTAGTCGTGGTGCCTATCATGGAACAGCCTTCCCCCTCTCCCCCCAAGATCTGGAAGGCCCAAAGCCTTCTAATCTTCCTGAGGGCTGCAAATACCTGACTCCCCCTGCAGGTACTGGACTAGGATGGTAATGAGCCCAATATAAATATAAGTTTGTTATGGTGCCCAGCTATTGCATTTTGTCTATTTTTAACTTGGTTTGTATTTTGTGTTTTGAGGTCTTAGGTATTTTATGATAATTGTTGTTAGCTGCCCAGGGTTATACATTTAAAATGGGCAGCTTTGTAAATTCTCTAAATAATTCAATAAAGTAATTATTATTTCTCAGAAATACAATGGACATGTTTTTTATGTTTTTTATTTTAGAAGTAAAATAAATCATGTCCCAATAGTATGAAACTACTTTTTTTCCTTCATTCATGGTGGAAATATTTTTTTTACCTGTATTTAAGTAATTCTGGTGAGTATTTAGATTTAGCTTTGAAAATCACCTGTAAGAAAATGAGACTGTGTTATTAAACATGCAATGCATAGTAGGGCTGGCACTCTCTTGTACTGTGAGTTCATTATATTTCAGGTGGATGACTTAGCCACATACGTAGCATTGTGCAGCTCCTACGCTCTTGCTTTCAGATTTGCAAACAGCCAATTTTCTATGCAGCAGCAAAATTTTATTCATCAGTGTGTTTACAGGAAATATAAATCTTATCCTACACAAATAAAAATCTGCAGAAGCAAAACTAGCTTTGTATACAACCAGAGAAACCAGGCAAAAAGAATAAGTTTGTAGGAACTGCTTGGATTCAGCCATTTAATTTCTAGGTATTTTTGCCACTTATCTTCCTCTGGAGTGCTTTTCAACTTTCTAGTCCAGCCCACGGCCCTGGGATTGCTTTATGACCTCTCAGACCAGATGCTGTCCCATGGTGAGATCAGAGAAATGGTCAATAGGGCAAATGAGGCTCATGCATGTCAGAAAAGTACCAATGCTTGCTTTCATGATTGTCATGAAATGACTTCCTGACTACTGCCTGTGACTCCCCTATCTCTAGCTTTTTGCTTGAAGATTGTTTTTTGTTCGAGGAGATTCTGTTAGTCACAGGCAGATGGGTACTCTGTTGCTCAGCTCTTTTTAAACAAAGGAAATATTTCACTCTGCTTTCCTTAAAAAAAACCCTCAAAGGCATAACAATCTTTTCAGAGTTGCATTATATAGCATAGCAAAAGTAGGAGCACGGCATATTCATATAGACCACATATACAACTTTGGCACTACAAGAAGTAAAGTAATGCTATAATATTTATTTCCCATGTTTAATTTATTCTCAGAAATTGCAGTTTCCCTTCCTTTTATCTCTGTAGTACAAGCTTCCTCAAACTGGTCTCACTTCAGATTTGTAGCTTTCAGCTACTGGAATTCTCAATGATTGAGGAAGTTTTGGAGTTAAAGTCTACATATCTTGAGACTTCTTAGATCTAGCATGTATTTCAGAAGAAAATAAGAAGGAAAAATCTCATCTCAGCCCTGCTGCAAGCTTTGTAGCAGCAACAAGAATCCCCACCCTCTCACTCCACATCTTGGAAGCTGATACTGTGGTGTTGTAGAGCAGGGGTGTCAAACTCAATTTCATTGAGGGCTGCATCAGCACTGCAGTTGCCCTCGGGGGGGGGCAGGTGGGTGTGGCCAGGGTGGGTGCGGCCTACTGGGTGGGCATGGATGGAGTGGGTGTGGCCTATTGGGTGGGCATGGCCAGCTCTACATCGTTCGCGTCAAGGGTGCCTGTGGGGGCCTGGGCAGGAGTGGGACAGATCTGAGGGTCTCTGGCAGAAGGGGGTGGAACTGGGGCAAGCACCAAGGCATGGTCCATTTCTTCATTCCTCACAAAGGCTGACACCTTCCCAGCATGCACCCAGGGGGTGGGGGCGACGCAGCAGGGGCTGGTTCCTCGCTGTTTCCAGATGGCCTTGTGGAGCTAAGACTGAATGCGTTTCAGCATAGATGGCCACCACAAAATTGTACATTGGCTCCCGGCTGGCCTGGGCCAGGGCCAAGGCGGAGGGGGCCGTTCCCTCACTATTTCCAGGATGGCTTCACAGGCCACATGAAACCACTTCGTGGGCCGCATCCGGCCTCCGGGCCTTGTGTTTGACATGTCTGTTGTAGAGAAAGCAAACTGAAATGACAGTAATTGGGGCTACAGTTACAGTACCATACAGTCCTATAAGACTTCAAATAACTTATCTTCCTTCATTCACAATGCACAAGTTTCATAACAGAGTATATTATTCCTTCCCATATGCCGAAGAAACAGCAATTCCTTTTCCTTTAAATACCACCATCATATGTGTATCTCACAAACCTAAGGCAGCCTAGCTAACTTAATTTACCAGAAACTTCAGCCTTGTGGATGTGTTAGCAACTCTCTCCTCCTCAAAATCCGCTTGAAAACTAAAGAAATATTCACCAAGCAGAGGCATTTCTAGATATGGATTAACAAATTTAAAGGGTGGCCATTCAAGCTGGCCTGACAATCCTATGGGGGATCTGATTTTCCAGGAGATTCCTTTAGTATCAGTTTAGTCTAAGAGTGAGTCATAGGAAAAGTCAGTTTGAGATGGGGTGTATAGTCATGTAGATTTTGGTCTAACTATGTCTATGATTCTTTGTCGTCTAGAGATAGAGCCTAGCAATGGTAGGAAGGCTGAGTCATTAAATAGTATTATTGGATTTGGTAAACATCCTTCACAATCATGGAAAAAAACATTTGTTTCAAATGAAAGACCCTTGGAGAAGGGACTAGCATATTCTGCATCTTTCTCTAAATACATTCTGTTCCATTTCCTCCTAATCGTTTCCTAATGTATCATATGTTCCAATTCAGTAATCATACTGTCCAATGTTTTTTGTTATCCTCTAAATCTCCATTTGTTTCTACTAATCTAAAAATGGAGAATAAACTAGAATGAGGAACTCCCAACTTTACATAGGAAACTCCTTGTCTTCAAAAGCAGCACACAAAATACATATGCTTAAGGATGATGAAAGTTGTAGTCCAGCACGGCTAGAGATAATACCATGGAGAGTGCTTCTATACAGATAGTCCTCGACTTACAACCACAACTGAGCCCAACATTTCTGTTGTTAAGTGAGACATTTGTTAAGTGAGCTTTGCCCCATTTTATAACCTTTCTTGCCACAGTTCTTATGTGAACCACTGCAGTTGTTAAGTGAATCGGGCTTCCTCACTGACTTTGCTTGTCAGAAAGTCACAAAAGGGGATCACATGACCCCAGGACACCGCAATGGTTATAAGTATGAGTCAGTTGCCAAATGTCTGAATTTTGATCACATAACCATGGTGATGCTGCAATGGTCATAAGTGTGAAAAATGGTCATAAGTCACTTTTTTTTCAGTGCTGTTGTAACTTTGAACTGTCACTAAACAAACTATTGTAAGTTGAGGACTACCTGTACTTTATGATCCAATTTCTATACGCTGTAGTCAAGCAAGAAAAAACAATAACCAAACATAGTTACATATACCCAGCAAATGCATAGGAATAGGATTCTTAGCCTTGAGATGCCAGGGCATGAATGGCATACATCAGAGTTAAATGAAAGACATGATGTATAACCCAGCACCAATTATTATTATTTTTGGCTGAACATATCATGTTCAAATCAAGCTTAATTGAACAGTTTTATCTGGATGCTTTAAAGATAAGGATAAAAATACAGAATAACATTCATGTACAAACATATACAGAACTAAGGGCTTTGATAAAACAGAATTCATTTAAAGATGGAAACCTCCTCAAATTAATCTTGACTGATGGACGCATTCATGCAGTTTTCCTGGCAATAATCCAGAAGTGAGTTGCCATTGCTTTTTTCCAGGATGTTTTTTCAATTTCTCATTCTGGTCTACAGCCCTCGTATTCCCTGTTGATCTCCTAGCCAAGTACAGATAGTCGTTGACTTAGGAGCATAATTGATCCTGGAATTATGGTCATAAGTTATTGCAGTTATAAGTTGAGGCGTCATGTGGCCGGAGGTGATTTTTCAACATTTTTTGCAGTGGTCGTTAAATGAATGTGGTGGTTGTTAAACAAATCCATTTTCCTCAAGAGGTGGGGGGGGTTTTTTGTCGGAATCTGGAAGTAAACACCAGAAGCCAGCAAAAACATTCTGGTCACATGACCACAGGATGCTGCAAACAGCCATAAAAGTGAGTGGTTTGCCAAGTACCCAAAATGCAATCATATGACGAGGAGTGTGTGTGGTCTAAATTTGAAAATGCATTGTAAATAGCTCTGGACAGGTCCGCTGTAACTTCGAATGCTCATTAAGTGATTGATCACAAATTGAGGACTACCTGTATTAATGAGGGTTGACCGTGATTAATTTTCCAGTCCGGAAACATGGTAAGAGATTTTCATAGATGCTAGAGGAAGTGTTCTCACCCTTCACTTTCGATTAGACTGTATACAGTGTAGACAAATCTCTCTTATTTTCATCAATGCCAAGTTAATTCTGGGATACTTTGGCTTGGTAGTCCTTCCTAACCCACTGGTATCTAGTGGAATCCTGACTGGAACTCTTTCATGGTTTAGCAGCCTTAAAGTTCTCAAAACGTAGAATAATTAAATCTTAGTAAAATCTGTCCATGAGAACCAGTCTGATACTGTGGTTAAGGCACCAGCCTAGAAATCAGGAGACTGTGAATTCTACTCCCGCCTTAAGCATAAAGCCAGCTGGATGATCTTAGGCCAGTCACTCTCAGCTTTAGGAAGCAGTCAATGCCAAACTACTAGTATTTCCAAAATCTTCCTTAGAAAACTGCAGGGATTCATCCAGACATCCTTGACACCAAGAGTCAAGATTGACCCAAAGGGACAAAAAAAGGACAAAAGAACAGAGACAGTACAATGCATGCCACAAAATCTGTAGTAGACTGGATAACATAAATTCTGGTATAGGTGGAAAAACATGTAAGCTAAATTCTATTCCTAAAGTAGAATAGAGATAGTTATGAATACGGAAGTGAACTGAGCCAGTGTTTTGAAAACAGGTTATGCTTCCTCAATATTTTGTTGGAGAGGGACTTTATTTATTGAATTTATTTATTTGTTGAATTTATTTAAAATACAGTGCTTATTTATTTATTTTATTTATTTATTTATTTATCAAATTTATACCCCGCCCTTCTCCTAACGGACTCAGGGCGGCTTACAGCCAGTTAAAACAGATAACTAATACAATAATACTAATTTTAAAATATGATTAAAATGAAATATTCATTATTGGCCGTTTCTTTTTTAAAATTATTTTAAAACCAAATTAAAATACCCCTTAGGCCAGTCCGGCTAGCTTAAATAGCCATGTCTTGAGGGCGCGGCGGAAGGAGGGGAGATCCGGAATCACCCGGATCTCTGGGGGTAGTTCGTTCCAAAGGGTGGGGGCTCCAACAGAGAAGGCCCTCCCCCTGGGGGTCGCCAACCGACACTGTCTGGC